CACTTCACCGTTTCTCGCTCTGCGGTTTGGCATCACTGGGGCATCTTCCTTAACAATCCTTAATTGTCGAATACTTTTCTGAAAAATGTTCTACTTTTTACAACACTTCTCTTTAACTTCACTTCTTGTTGTTTGTTTTTCTGCTACAAATCTTATAATCGATATTTAACACACTTCTATCAGTCCAATCGATCTGAAATTTGCACACTTATTTAAAGTCAGAGACAATGCATGAATCAATTGGCAGAATAAATAATTTTGAAAAAAATCATATATTAAAAAAATTAAACAATTTTTTTTATTTAAAAAAGTAAGAAATTCCTTGTACATGTGTAACATCGGAGACACTGGCCTCTTCCGAAGTGTTGTCTTTTAAAGTAATTTTAAAGCGCTAGGAGATTCAATCAAATTTTCCTGTTGTACGTTAAGTAAGACGCTTAGAATATTCGAATAAATACGGCAGCAAATTTCGTGGGGCACAACGCTCGATAAAGTGGACACTGACAGCTTTATCTGTCCGCTTCCCTGAAATTTTGGGTCTTCCTAGCCTTAATTTCATCACCAAAATGTGCATCGTAATCAACAATTGCTTCAACATTATACATTCAAAGTCGGCGACGGGTTTACATGTTAATTAGCTTCCTCCATTATTCTGGTAACATGGTCCTTAGGTTAACTGTACAAATACATTATTCATAGGGAAACCGTGATCCGTAACCAGTTAAAATCGAATCTGCCCATATAGAGTGACATGGACTCTTGTAACCGCACACTGTGCGCAGTTTACGCTGTAGTTGAAAGGTTTTTCGGCTCTACCACGTTCACTTGTATCATCGGGAAGTTTTGCGCATATTTAGCCAGATAAATATCCTTTTTCAATTACCAATCGTATCTAACTTGCTTCACGTATTCATTTTAGCGCTTGGTTCACGCACGTCTATTCGAAGTTAATTGTATTTAATTTATAGACGGATTACATTCCAGTAATACCAAGCCATCACAATCCCACCCGTACAGCTGCCTCTTCTCGAAAGACCCGTTAATTTAAACGCGACATGCGCTGACAATCTGACCCTTTGAATCTTTCTCATGCCGCACATGCAATTTCTCGGAACTAAATCTTGCCTTTACACCTTATGTCGTGCCCTGATGGGGCCTGGTTCCCAACTCTACTATAGTGAGCCGCGGGATTTAGATAGACATCATGAATTTGAGCTATCGGTTATTCAAGAGCAACCGGTCTTTCAAAACTTCTCTATTCGTTAATCAGTATTTATGATAGAACTGAATTTGGGCCCGCAATTGATTTAGCTATATGCCTGAAGCCTCGTGAAACAGTGGTAGGAGTACCCTATATTAAGTCATCATCAAAGCCTTGGCCATCGTTTCGTCGTTACATAACACGGAGAATTAGTTCTCTTTGTTGGATGATTTTAAAGCAATAATACTACAAATCTGACATTCACGTGTCACTTTTTTGACAATCTCCGTAGCCCACTCGTCAAAAGGGCAGTAGATTATGGTCGAAAAAGTCTGTCAATTGCTCCTAATAATTTGTTTGATCTGCTTGCCTTAATTTATATGCACGAAAATATGTAGGTAACTTGTTGAGTATATAGTTTGATTATTCTGAAGTTTATAATCGTATAATGTAGAATTTCTTTTCTTGGTTCTGCGATTGTATCGAAAATTTGAATACCAAACCCAGACTTAGGAGCAAACGCAATGGACTGCTTTTCGGGCGTTAGTGTAATCTTTCCGGAACTTTATTTTGCCCTTTGCCATGTTTAGTTTCTTGTTAGCGCTAATGTGCAGAGCCGCGCTGACTCATTTTTGCGAGACCTGCAATGATGGCCGCCAGGTTCTTGCGTACGTTTTTAGCGCATTTTCTCGTTTGTGGAAAAAATGTAACTCAGAACTCACTGCAGTGAGTGGCAGAGAGCGCATTTTCTCGTCGACGAAAACGTGAAGTCACGGACGGACAGACGGACGGACAGACGGACAGACATGACGAGCAAAATAGCGCGTTTTTTCCATACCTGAGAAAATGCGCTAAAAATGCCCTATTTTGCTCGTCATGTCCGTCCGTCTGTCTATCCGTGACCTCACGTTTTCGTCGACGAGAAAATGCGCTCTCTGTCACTCACTGCAGTGAGTACTGAGTTATATTTTTAGCGCATTTTCTCATTTATGGAAAAAATGCACTATTATGCTCGTCATGTCCGTCCGTCTGTCTGTCCGTTTGTCCGTCCATCCGTCTGTCCGTGACTTCTCGTTTTCGACGACGAGAAAATGCGCTCTTTCACTCACTGAAGTGAGTACTGAGTTAGGTATATTTTTTTGACTTGCCAAAAATTCTACGGTCAACGATTACTAAACATCACGTAGAATTATTAACCTAATTAATATATTAGAAATAACTGTGTACTAGATTTTCCTATTTTTAGCGCATTTTCTCATGTATGGAAAAAAAGGCGCTATTGTGCTCGTCATGTCCGTCCGTGACTCGCTCGTCATGTCCATCCGAGACTTGTCCGTCCATGACTTCACGTTTTCGTCGACGAGAAAATGCGCTCTGTCACTCACTGCAGTGAGTAGGTACTGAGTTATATTTTTTTTTCTTTTGTAGCCTTCAACCACTAATATTTTCAATTTTGCAATCTAAGCTTCATTTTCACCTTCGTGTGCACGATCATTAGCTCTGGATTCTGCCAATAAATAGAAGCAAAGGTTAAGAGAAAGCCGCTAAAGTGACTGCCAACTGAACGCGCCTTCTTGCCTACGCGCTTGCAGGAATCTGTCATGTGCAAGCGTTTGATGTGTACAGATAAGAAGCGATTGCATCTTGGCGAAATTCCTGGCTACTGATCGGGGTGAACTGAGTCCTTTAGACCTTCATTTTATAGACTGTATAAATTGCCTTTGCGTGAGTTTCTCAATTGCGTTTCTTAAATACTGTCATTTTCAATTTTTATCTTGCGCGCAATATTGATAAACTCGGAGAAATTGACTATTTATTTTGTAAGTAATGCAGCCCCTGATGTGCCTCCCGAGCCAATTCCTGGCATCGCTTTAAACTTCTAAATAAAAGGATCGAGCGTTGTCCTGTGCTTCATGCGCCCGTAAAGAACGAATTATAGGATCGTAACTTCTATTGCGCGCGCTATGATAATGACAATTTTACGGCTTGTAGGAATATTTTTAGAAGCAAATTTTCCATCTTTCCTCGTTATTTTTACTTTATTTTTTAATTACTCATTTGATGCTCCTTGTGAGCGGAAGTTTTTTTATGTTTGAACCTTATTTGCCTGGTGTATAAGGATATTTTTTGCGAGCTATCTACACTTCTCTTCGCGTACCAATATTGCATGAAATTAAGTACACTGGCGTAATGTATACAAGTACTTTGCGTATTGGAATGCTCGGTCCGAGTAAAGCTTGGCTATCGCTGCTGAGTCAGCAAACAACTCTCAGCAATGTTTTCGTTCCGTACTACCTTGAGATGCGTGGGAAATAAAGTTGGTCTAGCGATAACTTCGAACCTATTCTGACCCTGGACATTCCAACCCCTACGAGCTTGCTGCTGAGTGTCACGGGGTTGACTGCTACACATTTCTTTCAATAATGAGGCATTCATCTGAATAATTGCTCAATTTACTTGCGCACAGGTTTTTGTCATGTTCTCCGCCTGTCAATTTGATGCAAACTCTAACTCAACGTAATAACATTAATCTTGGGCAAATTTTGATTACTTAACGTCAGTAAAATTCGTTAACTACGTGTCAACTCTATTTTTAAGCAAGGGAGGCGCTTAGAACTCGTTTTCTTTAACTTATCGAACAATGGTAATTTTCTGTTCTAATTTCATGCTAAAACAACTGAACGAAAGTCTGATTGTTAACAAGTCTGATTGTTGACAAATATTGAAGTCTGAAAAATGTTTCTCTTTGCTCATGTTCTTGCATTGTGAACATGAACAAATGTTCTTGAATTGTGAGATCACGGAATAAGCTGACGTCAGATCTTGTTCGACCGAACGACCTAAGTTTATGTCGAGCGTTTCCTGTTCATCTCGGACAGTTTTATTGGTGCAGATATTATTGTGCCTGATCTCCGGTGTATTTTACTGTCTCCCAGTTGTCGCATTTCTTATAAGAAGAACACAACGAGCCCAAGAAAAATTTTGTCCTCAATGATCATCTGAGGCTCAAGGCTCTTCCTTTTTAATTTGGCATTAAAATTACAAATTTTGAGCTTGGCTATGAATATCGTTGACTTGGGGACAAGGGTACTTCATTGATTCCTTTCTTTGAACGATTACCTAGTTGGGTTGTGAAGGAAAGAGCCTGTGACTTCGAGATTGAAAGTGTTCAACGAACGAGTTTTTATGACATATGTGTTGAGTTTAAAGTATTTCGAATGCATTCATTATGCTTTGACTTGAAAAAATTACATATTTCGATCATCGTCGTAATTAATGGCTAATTATGGATTAACGAGGCGTCGCAATCAGCTCCATTGTTCCTCATATTGCCATAAGTTCCTCGTATTCGTTCTTCATATCCCTAGCTGCCACATTAAGATGCTGTTTTTTTGCGTAGTAAGATTGACCGTGAGGTAGGATATATCCGATGTCAAGTATTTAGAGGCAACACCATAAAATTTGTGTAAATCTATTTATAAATTTAGCGCAATTTCAATTAAAATTTGCCTAGAGCTACGAGTTTTTGCCATATAAAACCAATTTACTAAAACTAATGGTATAATATGGTTCGTATTTCTTACATATTACTGAAACATTTATTAACGAAGCCATTTGTTAAATGCACTTCAATGTTTTAGAATACCCTACGGTGTTCGTATTTGTTTAGTGATTTCCATAGAGCACATAAGGAATTTTTCTTATATACTCTTATAATGCCTAATTTCTTGTATAATTGAAGCTTCAGAAGCATTTTCTTTGCTGTGCCACTGGAGTCACGGTATCGATGTTGTTTCAGAGAGTTTGTGTCGGAGATCGTAGGACCCTCCCGGGCCCCGAACACATCAATACGGCGTCCTCTACTGCAACTCTCGCTGCTTGCTTTAAGGGCCCCACTCCGGCCACGTCTTGGCCATCTATTGCCCTCTACTCTGTCCCCTCATCATCGCCACGAGCAAGACAAGACCTTACTACGCTCTGGTACGTGGCCGTACTGCTTGGGGCCGCCCCCCACCGTCGTAACCACTCTAACAAAGTCCGACGCAAGACCGCGTCTCTTGTGCGTCGGAAGAAGAAGACCTACTGCAAAGTTCGCCGCAAGGCCTCACTCCATATTTTAGGCTGACGTGTAAATCAAGTGTTGAATTAATTCTCGAAAATTCATACTATATTTTCTGGACTTATGAAACTTGTGTGGTGAACCTTTGCACTTGGCCGTGTGACACGTGATTGTAGTTGCCAATTTTGCTGGATTCATTCAGTGTTGAGCTTGAGAACTTGTTTGTAGATCTCATTTGCCTGCGCTGGAAATCCAGAAAAGTATCGAGGGCTCACAGAACTCCTCCGACGGCAGCAGTAGTCCAGTTGTCTATGTTGGGACTCACTCTTCTGTTCGTCTAAGCCAACTTCGTGCAAAAATTTGGCCTTTCGGGAAGTCAGGAGGTTCGGAGGTTTCCCGCAAATCGGAGTCTGCAATGCGGCGACCAACTCTCTGCTGCGACAACCAGTCTACTGCCGACGTGGATTCACCATGCAAAGATCAAGTTAGTTATGGAGCCCGTAAGCATAGTTTACTGAATAGGCTAGTAGAATTGCATTTTACAGTTGATGTTGTTCTACGCTTACATTTGGGGTTGCATATATTTTTAAATCGTTAATCTTCATCATTCTTAACTTCAATTTTAACCCTAACAATCAAATCTACATGCAAACAAAGATTTTGTGAGTAACAACACTTCAATCGAGTTGGATCAAGGGCTTTTTTTTGTCCATATAGACACGTTGTTCCCAAATTTGTTTGCGTTCTCATTTGCTCCGTTGGTACAATGGTATATTTAGCTGACAGCTTCTATTTTTCAGTGTTCAAAGTGCACAGCATTTCATATCACAACTCTCGGTGTACCAAGCCGAACGATGTCGACAAGGCAAATGGAGGGCTGGACGTCTTGCCCGGCGATGGTATCAAAATAGCGCCACAGTAATCGTATTATTTACTGGTGATCAACAGTGACCGTTTCGTTCTGAGTTCATGCATCATCATACCACTGTTTTGAAAATAGATTTTGTCGCGAGGTTGTAAAGTTTTATTTTACTTCTTGCATTTCTGTCTCTTGATCGTTTCGAATATTTTCGATCGTTGCGTATAATTGATATGCACCAAGCAAATGACGTTAATGCAACGTTTAATTAATAATGGTTCAACGAAACAACGTTTTTTTAACGTTGATTCAGCGTCACAAGTCTGGTGGGTGGGTATGTTATTAGCATCGAGAATAAATAAATAACGTTGGCTGCTAATGCAACTTGGGAGTTGCTTTCTCTATGAGCACTCACACGTCAATTCGCTTTCTTTTAACACGAGAATTTTCTCTGGGCAGTCTGAAGAGCTCACTTGGTTCACTTATGATGAGCATTCGCTCATCTTAGGAGTGGATGTCATGGCCAAAAACTGGTGGAGGCTATTTGGTGGTGGCATCTTTTGCATTGTAGTATGGAAGGCGTCATGTAATTCTACTGGTGCTCACTCTAGGCTTTTAAATATGAGCGAAATTAACAACGATTATTTTATTCATGTATGCAGACAAAGGGTTTGAATGCTGTATTCGTTAATCTTTTCAATTGTTACGATAGAATTTATGATTTTTTAGGGTGGCACTTTTGCCCGCATGCGGAGGCTGTTCCTATCAAAGCCACTCTCACGACGCTCCCTATCGGGGAGCCACAGTTCGACCAAGCCCCAGCACCGCGACCCTGGAGCCTCCTTCCTGACGAGGAGTGAGCTGACGAGAGGCTCCTGCTCGTCACGTCCCGCCCTGCCGCTCCTCCAGCTCGACAACTCGTTCCTCTTCATCGAGCAGCAGGTGCTGGGGGCTGATCTTGAGGTGGTCATCAGAGGCCCTAAGAGCGAGCAGGGCGTCCCACAGCTCGTGTACCAGCTCTGCTCGTACATCCTCAACCACGGTGAGCACAGCGTCCCGTGGTGGCCATGCTGCGATATTCATGGCTGCTACTTCCCGTGCTATGTCTGTCAGGTCACTTACATATCACATTATTTTCTCTACTTTTACTATAGACCTTTTCATATCATTTATCCATTTATTCATCTTGACATTTCGAATACACATGTTTATCACATGTTGTTTTAGGAATGGTATGTTTTACTTAATATTCAGTATTCACGTGTATACACTATTCGAAATAACGGTGAAAAAATGTCTGACCGACGACGTTCTAGTGGCCGACCGCCTCGTGAAAAGGAACCGTTTCACCGTTTCTTTTCAAATGTGATACCGGTGTGATAAATGTGTTGAAAAAAAACTGTGTTTTATTTAATTGACTGGCCGGTCCCTGAAATGCCGGTTAAGCCGTTCTAGGGCGTTATTTCGTGCAATGTATTAACCTCTTAGCAAAAGATATGATTATCATTGTAATGATGATTATAATTGTCATGCGTGATGTTCTGTGTACGATGACTAGATATTCCCTCAATATATGAGGGTTGAACTGATGTGGGCATGTCTATCAAGAAGCCTTATGCATTAGTATCCTGATGTCCACAACACCCTGAATTTTGCATTGCTCTCAAGTTTGTTGCGGTTGCGTTATAACTTAGAGTTGTTTTTTCTCCAGACGTGGACTCGTCAGCATTGGTGTACGAAGAGTGGTGCAGCAGTGACGTGAAGGATGTGCTGTCTCGTCACCCTCGCTGCAGTTCCCTCGAGGCCTGCAACGTCGCGCCTCTGCTTCGTCTCTTCGTAGAGCGTCTGCCTGCGCCGCTACTGCCGCACTCAACCGCTGTCGCCCTCGTCGGCATGGCTGGTAAGATGTCTCGTCGTAGCGTTTCTCGGGGGTAGTCATCTTGTGGACACGTTTGTTTTGAATGAGGCTTGTATTTGTTGCTACTCTCTCTAAGATATTATGTTAGTGATAAGAAATAAATTTAAAAATCAACATTCGTAGCGTTTCTCGGTCTATTCAGCTTGTGGACACGTTTGTTTAGAATGAGGCTTGTAGGTATTTTTTTTGCTACTTTCAATAAGATATTATTTTTGGGATACTAATAAATTAAATGAATTAAGAAACAAACATTTTTGTGCGGAATGATTGGAACGTTGTGTTATGATTGATATCGAGCTTCAGATATTCGAGTACTCAAAGTTGTTCCACATAGTTACTACAGTAAAAGATGTTCAGCGGTGAACTCGCTGAACGCTACCTACATTCCGTATTATTATTTCAATAACTTACAGTATTTATATGCGCGGTGAACGCCAAATTCTGTATTCTTATTGTTTTCTAGACTTCCTCCGCTAGCCTAAGGCTCCCAATGTGTATTTTCACACGGGATACCAAATCAATACTAAATATCTTCTCAAAACAATTCTGCAATCAATTTGGCAGGTTCAACCTTAGACTTTAGTGTCTGCGTTGACCAAAGCGTCACTACATTGTGCTTCACTAGTAAGATAGTCTGTTGAAGCTTATAAACATGCAATTATTTAAAACACTCTTGACTATCCAGCAGACGACTCGGCGCCGACGGAGGCTCGTCGCCTGCTACTGACGCAGGTGTCGCCGGGCAGCCTGAGTCTCCTGCGCTACCTCACCGCCTTCGCCAGCTGCCTCAGCCACTCCAACAGGTGTTACAGGGGCTCCTTGATGTTAGTGGGGCACTTACTGGTACCAGGGCACTAATCTCGCCAGGACAATAATCTCGCCAGGGCAGAATATTGTATGGTGGGGAGGAGCGGCTTGCAAGTCATCTCCACGTTGGGCGGAAAATTAGTTAATTGATTCCATAATTCCCATGAAATAAATTGCAGCACAACAATGCCCTGTAAAAGACATCTTTAGTTTTGCCCGGCCAACGTTTTGAAATTTTTTAAAGTTGAATATATTGAGATGTTTTTTCGTTATATACCTTTCCTCCTCTGCTGGAGTACGTAGAAATGTCATCGCATTGGATAACCTTTAACCTCATCATTATGATCTAAATCCAACTCATTATGATCTCAATTGTGTAATGATTGTTTCCTCAGATGCGGGGGTGGCGAGACTTGGGTATTGTTGGCTGCAGGCGCCGTGGGGAGTCGCAGCGAGGACCGCGCGCTGGGGAGGCCCGTGGCAGAGTACCTGCTGCGCCACAGCCTCGCGCTCTTCCCCGACGAACCGCGCGCCCTGCCCCCCGCCATCGTCTCCGACAGCTTCCCCGACTCCAGGTCGGTTGCCCGACCAACTCATTACTGTTGTATATTGAGAGACGAAGTAGGCATCGATAAATATTAGGAACGGAGCTTGGGCTAAATGTTTTGTGAATTTTATCGTTTGTATTTCTTCATTTATTTGAAGCTCGGCTAAATGACTGGGGCTTAATCGCATTGTGTTTGTGTTGCAGCGACGCATCGCTGACGGCGTTGACGAGTCAAGAGGAAGACAACGACGAGGACGAGGAGAAGGAAGAGCGCAGGCCTGGTCTGGGAGTCGTCACCCACGACGAGGATTACGATCGTATGAGCAGCAGCAGCAGCAGCCCCTCCAGCAGCCGCAGTTGCACCACCACCTCCGAGGATACGGAAGGCTTTCGGTGCCCACAACTGGGCTCTGGTCAGACCCCTGGCACCTACTTGGCCATCGAGGAGGCCGTGTCTCCAGACTTCGACGACTACCAACCTGGAGACAAAAACAGAGTTATTATATACCACAAGTTGCTGGACGAAAATATTGTGGCGCATGAGAGCTCTGAACTGCAAGTGGACACAGCGGATGCCCTGACGACCGAGGAAATTGACGTGCGTCTGGACGAGTCCTCTCAGGAGGACCTCAATGACGGCCAAGTGACCGTCAGATGCGCCACTTCGGATTCTTCCCCCAGGTAAATGGTCAATTTCAACTAAAATGTTTTCCTCTTTTGCTCCATTGCTGAAGCTTCCAGATTCGGACGTAAACCGCGATTGTGCAGCGTTGAAATGTAACCTGGTTTTCTTCGTTCAGACAACGTGATGCGATCAAAGCTTTAGCCTTAGGATGCCGCAAGCATGTCACGCGTTTTGTGAACTAGACAAGCTCTTCTTAGACACGCTGGCTATCTCTTACGGCCGCGAATTTGGGAACGAATCAATAAACAGTTAGTAGAAGTTGGAAATAGTAACAGTAGAGTTGGAGTAAGTAACAGTAGAAGTCGGAGTTACTAACAGTAGAAGTTGCAGTTAGTAACAGTTAGTAGAAGTTGGAGTACACATGTTCCTAAAATTTTAGCGAGTTCTGTTTGCCACAAGTTTTTTTTTTTTTCATTTTCCGCAAGATATTCTTTTGTTCGGTGTCACTGCTACGTCTTTTTTTCAAAACAGCATCAATCAACATTCAATTTCACGCGCTTTTTGTTCATCGCCAAACCATTTTGGCCTATTATGTTGTTCTCTGAATCGCCGATAAAACTATTTCCTACCGAAAAAACGACATTGCAGTCACGCCTGCTTCAACAAAATTTATTTTCTCATTTAAAGAGACTTTTTCTTACTGAAGTTTATGAGCTGAATACAGGTTTTTTGCATCGACTACAAACCTTTAAACGTGAGATTGAATGGGCTAATTGAAATGGGAATTATTAAACTGAGCAACATTTTTTTAAGGACGTTCCCAAATGAATATTGTTGATCTCAGCACACACAAAATAGTTTAAATCATTTATAGCAATGACACCACGAGCCCTAATGCCGCTATAATGCTCACAATACCGTAGCATACTAAGGCTGTGCACTGCGCAGTATAAACCGAGTGCTGCTGTTGTCTGCCCCACCAAGGCACTGCTACTTTCTCAAATCAATATTCACTTTCTCGGGCAGTCGCTGCGCCCGCAAAAACCGTCACAAATCCTCAGTGGATTTACATATGGATGATTCCGTTAGAGCGCGATCCTGCGAGGCACCTAATTTGGTAGGACGCACGATCCCGCAAAACGCTGATGTATATACTTTCGGACAGCATATCAAAGTGTGATACATCCGCAAGAGTTGAAAGCATATTCAAATCTGAGCAGGATTGAATACAGAGGTACGACGTTGATTGGAATCTAATACAGTGTTGCCACATTGTAAACCAACACCTTAGTAGAGGGATATCACAGGCACCAATTTTCGTTGGGCGCACGATCCCGCGAGGCGGCCGATTTAGTATGATGCACGATCCTGCGAGGCGGCTGATTTAGTATGATGCACGATCCTGCGAGGCGGCTGATTTAGTAGGATGCACGATCCTGCGAGGCGGCTGATTTAGTAGGATGCACGATTCTGCGAGGCGGCTGATTTAGTAGGATGCACGATCCTGCGAGGCGGCTGATTTAGTAGGATGCACGATCCCGCGAGGCGGCTGATTCAGTAGGATGCACGATCCCGCGAGGCGGCTGATTTAGTAGGATTGTTTCGTTACTGTTGAATGAAAACTGTCATTCGCTTCTATTTGCCTTTCAAATAAGGCTTATAGAGATCTTAACTCGAATTTGGTGAGGTATGAATGGAAGTTATACGTTTCTTTTGCGTCATTGAATTCGAATTGAAATTTGCTTTAGTGTCTTGGGCATCCTCATTCCATTCAAGTATTGATCTGAATGTGTTTATCGCACACGCTGTCACTTGCATTGCTCATCAGCACTCATGGACACTTGTGTACACTGATAGTTGACATTCGGTGCAAATTCGAGCCCTCAAGTACAACCATGACATGGCATGACGGCCTATCACTTCATGCCAACGGGGACGATTACAAAATTTTCCCTTGAATTGTTTTTGATGGTGCCTGCTTTTTTTTCTTTGTCGGGACGAACAGTTCTGAGTCTTGTGTCCAATTATCTCATTGAAATTTAAGCTTCCTTTTTCTACTGTTTTTTGATACAGTCACACGGAAGGACGAGTTCTTTGGTACTCATCTATTGAATATATTAGCATTTGACTTATATCAATATAAGCTTTTTACATGACTGTGTAGATAATGCAAGTGAAACGAGCTCTGATGGGACAATCAAGAGGCATCTAATCATCATGACAGGGTGGATGACTGGCATGCGGTAGATATAGACGACTGTCGTGATTTGCACTCGTGATAAGGTAGAAGCCTTGAAGTTACGAAGACTGTTTAAATTGCAGTATGGGTATCCTCGTTATGCTTTCATCAAGTGCGATCTGTTAGTTACGGTACCACTAGAGTCCGAACAACGTAAAAGTTGTTAAATTGCCCCGTTATCTGTGGGCCGCTATCTCGCAGGTAAAGATTGTCGCGTCGCTCGGTGCATTTCAGTGCAGCTTTATCTCTTCTGCCGAGTGGTGTCTTGATTGACTTGCTGCAGCAAGGGAGCCTTATCGCTCGTGGCGCCTTGGCAACTCGTGTTTTACGCATAAAAATGCGTCTTTGCGATTGCGTAGTCTTAAGGTGAGGCACGTTCATGCGATCAATTTACTGGCATGTCGTCATCAGTCTTCTGTGATAAAAAATTCTAATCACGTGGGAATTATGGTTCAGAAATGTACGTACGCTTCGAACTTGACTTGAACATGTTGAAATGAGTGTATAATCCAACTTTGAATAATGGTGATGCGATAATTGTCTATCTATTGTAATATAAAAGAATATTATTTATTACTTATCCCATAATTACTTGGGCCTACGTTTATCGACATTAATAGAATCGAGAATTCATCGTATTTTTTATTTTATTTTAAGGCATGTGAGATGCTGAAAAGTGACGTGATGTTTATAATTGACGTAAATTTCGCACTTCTTGCGTTCTTAGTATTGCGTGGAATGCGTCTAAGCCCGTTTCGTGCGTGAATGATTTGAACCTGTTCAGTTCGGTACGGCTGTCTCTCAAATGATTAGACCGAACATCGGTCATGTTTGCTGCGACCGCTGTCTTCAGGTACATGACTTGATATGACGGCCTAAGTGTTATGTTTGCTGCGACCGCTGTCTTCAGGTACAACGACGACTCGATATGGCGGCCTAAGAGTTATGGTTGGTGCGACCGCTGTCTTCAGGTGCATGACTTGATATGACGGCCTAAGAGTTATGGTTGGTGCGACCGCTGTCTTCAGGTGCATGACTTGATATGACGGCCTAAGAGTTATGGTTGCAGCGTCGCTCAAGCAAGCAAGTCTCAAGCAGCGTCGCTCAAGCTCAAGCAAGCATGAATGAATGCAGCGGAGTAGCGCGATGCGGAGCGTGCCTGCTGGTGCTGGGCTCAGCCTCGGACACCACCGCTGCCCTGACCCTGACATTTGGGCGCCTTCATGTCTGCAGGTGTGCTCTGATACTGGCTCTGATGCTGCCTCTGATGCTGGCTCTGATGCTGGCTCTGATGCTGCCTCTGATGCTGGGTTTGGACAGGCTTTTATGCTGGCTCTGATGCTGTTGCCGTCATCACTGCTGACGATGCTTGATCATCGCGACTGCTTGCTGTTAATAGATATTTTTTGCGATTATGAACTTAATACTACTCGGTTAGTAACGATTGCTGATCGTTAGTTGCTATTGCATCTGATTTAAAGTTGCTGATGCTTTTATTGCTGCTATACCAGTGACTACCACTACTACTACTACTGACAGGGTTGCTGATGACAACACTGACCTTGCTGACTGCTGATTATGATTGCCACGATATAGCTGACGATGTCCTGCCGTTGCAGACGGTGTTAGAGTTGCCGCTTTTGTGCAGCTGGAAACTGCCTATACGCGGTTACAACAACACTGCACTGCGCTCGCCGTGGTCGGCTATCTCGGTTATTTATTATCAAATATGATCTCGGTTATTTGACTACCGTCTACTAGAAGCTACTCTTAATAAGGAAATTTGAGGAGATGAGCATATATTTGCCACAGCATACTAGCTGAGGAACAGACGACACTAGAAATCAATTTAAGGAAACTAGCCTAATAATATGTAGCCTCATTACCTATTCGGTGGCGCTGCAGTCCTGGATTTACGTTGGCCTTACTGCTATTTTTAGCTCCGCCATTCGAGCCTTGTTTGTGTTTTTTGTGTGAGATAATTGTACGAAGTTTTGATTTGATCGCACTCTCTTTCTTGTGAACTATAGAAGTAAAGAGGAGCTGAAAACGACGGACGGTCTTAGAGGCAAAACATAAATCTTCGTAAAATCTATGAAACTTTGTCATTACAGAATCGAATCGAAAAAAATTATGTTTCGAAGAAAAAAAACGATGGTTTGATTGATAATTGATGATAGAATGATTTATACTTTAACAAAGAGGAACAAGTCTTCATCTTCTTGAGAAAGGCTTGTGCTTCTTAGTTTCTAAGGAAAAGATAAAAATGTGGCGAAAAGGATTTTTAAAAACAGGTGTCCATTGAAATTACATGAAAATCTTCAATCAACTCGACACATGAAATGAAGAAATAACTGAAATGATTGCTGGCAATTCCAAGTCGAATTTTTTCAGAAAAAATTTAGTTTCATTATTTAACCTAAAAATTCAGAATATGTCCAAATATTGACAGTTAACTGCTCATTCTTCTCTAAAATTGTTGTATCACGATGATGCAGTTTAATCATTGTTTACTGAAGCTATGAGAGTTCGTGACAAGTATTGCTCGCGATAACGTGGTAAGCGTTGCTTGTGATGATGAGGTATCTTGCAGCTGCTCTGAAGTTTATTATCAATGGTAAGGATTGCCCCATGACTAAGTGAGATGTTTGTGCTTATGTGGAAATACCTCAAGGTTCCTCATGATCTCAATGCTCCTTATTTCTAATGACTGCTATCAATTGCAAATTTACTTATCATCCCGATGGTTCTGTAAAAACACAATAATTTTACAATTCAAAGAAGACTTTGATTTCGTTATCGTATAGGAAACCATCT